GGTATCGCAGGCTCGCTCAGCATGTGTGTGAGACGGTCTACAATCCACTTTTGCACGTCCAATTGGTCCTGGTCGGAATTTCTGATCGGACCAAAAGAGTCTGCGCGAATACTTGTTGAAAGGAGGTTCATCAAAAGCACAATGTCACCTAGTGGGTGTGAAGGGTGCAGCATAACAAGAATGAATGAGATTCTGATGTTTTGCCAGAATGTCTCCATTGCACTTTTGATGTGCAATACCCCGCAGGCAATTTGGTAAAGTAGACGCATGGCTCCAGTCGAGTCGACTAGGGGCTGCAGATCTGACTGTGGTGTCTGTCGAGTGATTCGTTTATCTCGTGATGCCGGGGCGTATTTGAAGCGAGGAACTGCATTTACTTCCACAGTGTCTTGCAAGACCCCAACTAAAGGCGTAATTAGTTCAGAGAGTGCAACGTCATCTGACATCAAACTGTATTTTGTGATAGCTTCGAATCGTAGGACTGGCTCGTAGAATTTCTCGTTGATGGCGCGCTGCCATAGCGAGGCGATCGTTTGTGTATATTCCAATGCGTAACTACTCGGGTCGACACGAGCCATAACCTCCATAATGATGCTGGACATGGGTCGATGCGGCTCTGAGGGAAATGCAAGCTTGGCCATAGCTTCGAAATCGGTTTCTTGGTTAGGATGCATATGGTGACTCAAAAGTCGCATCATAAATCGCTGATTGCGACCCGCCTCTGCAGATTTGCGCTTCACCTCGTCCACTTCGGCTGGAGTATCAGTCGCATCAGGCATCATAAGCTCCATGCCAACAGGATTCAACTGTAGTGGCACAGGACCATCTTGGCTTGGTTGCCGTTTGCGCTTTCCTGGAACTGTCGGAGTGGCTCGCTTGGAACGCGCTGCAGACTTGCTGGGTGATACCATGGCGATTTCATCATCGTCAAATCCATCGCGGAAAGGAAGCACACGGGACTTTCGAGGAGTTACTGGGGCCTCCGTCTCGCGATGCTTAGATTTGTAGTTCCGAAGCTGGTAGGCTTCATCCACGAGGTCTTGTTGAAGAAATACATTCTCTGTCGCCAATACCTTGCCTTCGGACATGGCCGCCTCAACCTCTTGCTTGTGTTTCACCATTTCGTCGGCCATGGATTTCCGTAGAGCCGCTAGTTGCCGGTCATAGTCTTGTGTCATCGTTGTCTGCTTCCTCCGAATGATCGAGATTTCCCCGGTTTTCGTTTCCACTTGCATCCTCGCTTCGGCTAGCTCCTGTAACATTTGTTCTCTTTCTTGTTCCAGCTATTAAGGTTGTTAGCAGTTATACAAAGAAGCTTTCAACTAACCTACCTGCACCAGACGTGCATTGATCTCTGCGGCGGCATTCCCTTGTCCATAGTACTCGTCCAAATCCATGGCATCGTCCAGCTGCCCGTCGGCCGCAAAGCTAGGACCTGTGGCGTGTGCATGTTGGCCATGCGGAATGACATGCGGTTTATCGACATTATCGTATACCTCAGCCTCCAATTCCCCTACCTCCAGTGTATTGTAGTCGTTCATCAATCCGGTGTGTAGGCGAGGCGGTAGTCTCAGTAATCCAGAATTGTGGTTTAATGGCACTGCTTGGGCATGTGGCACAGAATTGCTGTTTATGGGGTTTGAGTGGTACTGTGAGGCTGACGCCTGGGTTGCCTGGAAGGCATTCTGTTCTAGCGCATACCATGTTCCCGGCGGCAGGGAGTCGAACTCGTCGGAGCCGTAGTCGTCGTCGTCGTCTTCCATGCCCCCGCCATGAATTGACTACCAGAGAGAGTTGAGGGAATCTAAGTTCACGGAGGGCTTTTGATCATTCTCGAGGTTGAGTGGTTCGGAGGGTTGAAGCGGAGAGATAGAGCACGGCAGTTCAAGGCACTTGGACAACTACCTTGCACATCCAATTTCAATTCCTAGTCACGAACGTAATATTTCAAGGCCAAATAATGATTGATTCAACTAATAAACTCGAATTATACACCTGGTATAAAAAATCACAAGCAAAGAAGAAAAAAAAAAGTAAACACGGGGCTGAAGCTGAAGCTGACCGCTTTCGGCACTTCACATGAGCTCATCAACTTCTAATCCGATGATCCTCTCTCGTTCTCTGCACTCTCCACTTCTGTTGCCCAGATTCTATTTCTGGCCCCCTTTTCTTCATCATGTCGAAATCTCGCCGTAATGTTAGGTTTCAACACCGGTCAAATGATGAGCGACGCCTTAGCGTGTCCTCCGACGTCAGCGACTCACCCTCAGAACCCACTAGCCCCAGCAAAAATGGCAACGGGTCCAAACCATCTACAACAACTGAAGAGGTCAGTTTCTATGAGAATGGCCTCGGAATCTAGGTCTGACATGATCTTCATTTCTAGAATCCCCCCCAGTCCGAATATGAGAAGAAGAAGCAGACCTTCATCACCCGGACGATATGGACATTTGTGATGATCGCCGGTTTCTTCGTCGCCTTGTTCTCCGGTCACATTTATATCATTGCCCTAATCACTGGCATCCAAATCATTTCGTTCAAGGAAGTCATCGCGATCGCCAGTATCCCCAATAAGGAGAAGAACTTGCGGTTCACCAAATCGTTGAATTGGTATTTCCTGGCGACCACCATGTATTTCTTGTACGGAGAGAGTGTGATATACTACTTTAAGCACATCCTGCTTGTGGACAAGGTGCTGCTTCCGTTGGCGAACCACCACCGCTTCCTCAGCTTCACACTTTACGTCATGGGTAAGTGTTTCGACCGCTCCCCTTTTACTCCGCTAATTCCAGTTGATAGGGTTCGTGTTCTTCGTCGGATCTTTGCAGAAGGGCCACTACCGATTCCAGTTCACCCAGTTTGCTTGGACCCATATGGCTTTGTATTTGATTGTTGTCCAAGCTCACTTTGTCATGAACAATATTTTCGAGGGCATGATCTGGTTCTTCCTCCCCGCTGCGCTGGTCATCACCAATGATATCTTCGCCTACGTCTGCGGTATTAGCTTTGGAAAGACACAACTTATTCAACTCTCCCCGAAGAAGACTGTCGAGGGATTCCTTGGCGCATGGGCCTGTACCGTTGCCTTTGGTTATTTCATGACCAACTTGCTGATCCGCTACAAGTACTTCATCTGTCCTGTCAACGACCTAGGGTCGAATGCTCTGACCGGTCTGGAATGTGTTCCGAACCCCGTATTCACGTCGCAACCTTACTCTCTTGAAATCTTTGGCCTGGACAAGACCTTCTGGGTGGAGCCCATTCAGTTCCACATCTTGGCCTTCGCCACTTTCGCTTCCTTGATCGCTCCATTCGGCGGATTCTTTGCTTCCGGCCTGAAGCGCACCTTCAAGATCAAGGACTTTGGCGAGTCCATTCCTGGCCACGGTGGTATCACTGACCGCATGGACTGCCAGTTTATCATGGGCTTCTTCTCTTACATGTACTACCACAGCTTCATTGCTGTCTACAAGGCCAGCGTGGGTGACATCATCGAGACCGCCATCAACGGTCTTACGGTCGACGAGCAGCTCGAGGTCGTCCGTGGCTTGGGCAAGTACTTGTACAACCAGGGCGCCGTCTCGGAATCGGTATGTTATCTTAAACCAATTACCATGATTATATAACTAACCTCTCCCAGATTCTGGAGTGCCTTGTCACCGAGCTCAAGCGTCGGTGAATATAAAATTGTCCGGCACTCAGATTGAAAACACCCAACTTTATGACACTCATCTTTCACTTTCACTTCCACCATTCGAGGACGACCTTTCAACCCCGCGCTTTACCCCTGCAACTCTCCTCCGATTGTTTCTGCTGTGCCGACTACCCCCTCTTCTTGCTTCTTGCTTCTTGCTTCATTCGGGACTTGATTTGGGTTCACCGAATATGCATGCAAGCTTTAATGTGTGCATGCATGATATGTACATACATGCGCCCTGCTCGCCTTACCCGCCTTTCAACACGGCATCAGAACCTAACAAAATGACCCGTGGTAAGGGCTCTAATGAACCGACGTGAAGACGGGAAATCTTCCACGTTGGAGGCACGGGGACGAATTTTCTTTTCTTCATTTACGGCTGCTTCCCTGTACTTTTGTTTAGTCCTCATTTTTTTATTCTCTTCTCTTCTCTTCTCTTCTCTTCTCTTCTCTTCTCTTCTCTTCTCTTTCTGATTGGTGCCGGGCCCTGGACCGGCCCCAAATTTGATGACTTGTGTTGCTCGGTCCATCTTGACCTGGAGCTCTGCTATATTCCCGATGCGTGGAACGGACACATCCCCCTACAGAAGTGGTAGAAGAAGGGGGATGGTGGGGGGCATGCCTGTGTGTTTTTCTCTGGCAGTCTTGTCTCTAGCTTCACTGTTTTTGGACAAGTGAAGGGAACGGGTTATAGATTTGTACATAGCTTTCAATTCAAATTTTGAAGCTGATTTTTGATTTTGTTTCACTCCATATATTGCTCCTTGATCCTTGGGGGTGGGTTGATAGGTGCAACGAATATCAAATATAGTGTTTTCCTACAATAAGGAACTGATCATCGATGGTTGATGGCTCTTTTCATTATATCTATCGATATCTCGTCACTGGTCATAGATGTCTGGGGTATCGGGAAATCGTGGGAAATATGTATCAACGTGGTAAATCTCGAGAATGTGAGTCCCTCGTTTCCGAGACAACTCAGTTCCGAAACTGTAGAGAAAGACACCGAGTGTTTTGCCCATCTGTCCAGAAAATGCGGACAAAGGCCTCGTCGGAGCCTTGCAAGGATGACGGCGTATTCCAATAAGAATCAGGACGAACGGCCGATGGATAGTCACTGTGACCGGAGCATTGTTTGGTTAGAACCAAGATGCGATACAATATATGGGGGCCCCGTCTCAGCTCATTGCCAAACCCACTATCCTATTACCGGTCAACGGAAGTAAGTGAGGCCTTCTCTCAGCTTCACTTCGCCGCATGAGGCACGCCAGGTGCCAGGAACGCAAACAGCAAGAACTGTATCTTAAGCGTCGACTTCATATTCTTCCATTTCGACCTTGAAGTACTCCGCAACCTGTCGCCTCTCCTCATCCGCACATGCCGGATCGAGCATGAATCGCACGGCGGCGTCACGGCCTCGCTCGCCCGTCCTCTGGCGGTCCCCGTTCGCGGCAATTGGTGTTAGGGGATGTGCCGGTCGTGGAGTACCTTGGTCGTTGGCGCCAGTGCCGTTGGATGGTTTGGGTGGCTGGCCGATCCACGGCTGGTAGCGTGGAATGTGGTGTTCGCTGGCTTCTTGGTTGAGCGGGATACGGACTGTTAGGAACCGGTCTGCGGGGAATTCCGAGCCGACGGTGGTTAGTGCGCGGTGATGGGTGTAGAGTTCTAAGACATCAAAGAGGGTTTCTGTGTGATTGTTAATATGTGGCGTTCTCTAGGTGAATTTGAATATAATAACAATACTTACCCATGATTTCTGCTCGGCTGGTGCTCCACTGCGTATAGTCTAGCCCAGACTCCACTTGTTCGACGCGCTGCTCCAAGAGTCGTCCTGCAAGCTCAAGGCAACTAAAGGCCATCGTCGATGAGTTTTGTTTGATGGGTGCAAATGTGCGGTAAAGATCCGACGAGATACGGTAGGCAAGATTGGAGACTTCGGAGTTTTGTGGTAGTCCATAATGCCGACCCAGCTTCATGAGGGTCTTATGGGGATGCCGGGTCCGAAAGTCAAACCCAGAGGCTTCTAACATGAGTCGCTCGAGGCCGATGATACCACGCGCATGGGATTCAAACATCTGGTGACAAGCGTTAATCCTCTCTCTTATCATGTCTGGGCATCATGACTTACGGGATCATCAGCCGATAAGTGCTCTGAAGGTGCCGCTTTCAAGTTGTACGCTGCGCAGACAATGTCTCGCGATTTTTTGAGCGTATCTTCGATCTTGCATGCTGTGAATAAAGCCGCAGCCGCAGCATCCTGTATCTTGAGTTAGACTGATCTCCTTGAGGGATTTCCGAGAGAACCCACAGTCCAATTATACTCGTTGTCTGGATGCACCAATCGAAATCGGTGATAATATCCCACTGCTGTGTCAAAAGTGCGAATGGGACTGGATTTCTGGTTAGTCCTGATGCATTTTGCTTGGCTTGGGGTCAACTTACAGGTTGAGGGCTCTCCGCACGCTGTCGATCCACGCCACGCCTTGAAGACGCACTGAGGTTTCGCGAAGCGGATTAACACTCATCGCCTCGATGCAGTTTTCAATTGTCTGTTCGAATATGTATGGATTGGCCACCTGTATAAAAGACGGGTGAATGGCCGGGGGTGACAGGCCCGATTCCAGCGTTGAGCTCCCGCGGGGAGACTCGCCCCTCATGTTGCGTGCCATGGCAGTTTCTTGTATTTCCTCAGAATATGCTAATATCAAGCATGTATTTGGAAGTTGCAAGATGAAGACGCGCAACAAGTGACTGGATTGATATCTCGATCACGTGTTATCCCAAGAGCTACCAATCACGTGCAAAGATGTCGGGAATATGATATCCCGGTCTCTGAAGTGTATATACCTGTGTACCATGATGCTTACTTTATTTCCCGAAGACGGATGTGCAATTACAATAGTATTGATCATTCTGGAAATACATGAATAGTAGGAACTTATCTCGCAAATCCCTCAAGGAACACCCCGACCAGCCCGTGTCGCCTTGGCCAACTCACTTTGAGCTGTATTATCCGCATATCTCTTGTAGATGGGAAGGTAATGCGCAAGATCACTGGTAGTCTCCTTGATACTCCGTCTGCTCTCAATAGCAGCTAGCCAAGTCCTCCACCGGATCCAAATACCCTCGTCCGAATCCCCTTCCCCCTCCTTTGGAATCCCCAACCCACCACTTTTGAACTCATCAAACACCCACAATCGTACCGCCCACGGAGCTAGCACCAGATCCGGCAGACTAATATTATTACCGAGGAAGAAAGGTCCCTCGGGGTGCATCTCCTTGGTCCAGGCTTTCAAGTGATTCAAAAACTCTTGCCGGGCCTGATCCAACCCCGCATCTGCGTTATGCCCACTGCCATCTGCAGACTGGTACTGCAAGAAACGGTGGAAAGATGGAATTATTCGAGATGTCACATAGTCAATCCAGATGCGTGCACGGGCACGCTCGTAGGGATCCTCTGGCAGGAAGCGGGGTTTATGGTCTGGGTATGCTTCTTCCAGATACTCCAGGATGACAGTGGATTCATACAGTGGCCGTGGGTGTGGATCTGCTGGAGTTGAGAGTGTAGGAACTAGGCCTCGGGGATTCAGTGTGAGTAGTGAGTCTGGCTTGTTGTATGGGTTGACCTCGATATATTTGTATGGGATCTTTTTCTCTTCGAGGGCGAGCCAAACTCGCTGGACTTTGCTTTGTTAATGTAATTTTTGGTTATGAATGAGTGACTAAAAGCATACCAAAGCTGTGTATCTGGTTAGCAGTCGTTTGGTTTGAGCATAGAGGGGTCGTAGACATACGGACAGAACCACCCCGCATACAACTTCAATGGCTGTTCAGCGCGATGCTGATCGACCAGTGCCTTAGCCGGGCCACTGGCCTCGGGATAGAGGTTGGAGTCAGGATGAGGAGGCATTATAGGATGCAATTTGCTGTTTCCAAGGGAGAAGTGAAGGGTGAAATGAAGAAGAGATCGGAGTTGGACAGGTCGTGGATATTAGTGTGACATCATATCCTAAGCATATTCGTGATCGAACAGAGTCTCTAGAAATATTGTGTTTGAAATCCCAAAGGATATAACAAAAGACAGATAGATAGCATTGCAAATCTACTAGGCCCTATCCTTCTCCATACTTCCTGATCAGCTTCTGCATAATCGACATAGCACCAGATCGATACCCTCCACCAAAGATAGCATGATGATTCAGATGATGATACCTTTTTGGTTATATCAGTAAGCTTGTCAAATAGCAAGAGAAGAAAAAGAGAAACTCACAATTCATATAATTCCAGCCGATCAGCATACTCCGCCACAGGCTCAGTTTTCGGCACAATCCGATGATACTGATCAAAGAACCGAGCTCCAAACCCACCAAACATATGCATAATCCCAAGATCAAACTCACTATGTCCATAGCAAGCCGATGGGTCATACACCACATCCCCAGGTGTCTCATCGCGACCCGAGCCAACAATCCGACCTCGATCAGCATTCCCACTCCACAAATCCCCATGAACAACAACAGGCACAATGCCCTCCCCCTCACCACTGAAAGTATACCCTAAATGACCATCCCCAAGCAGACGAGGCACAACCTTATGCGCCGTCTTCTCAACCTCCTCGCGCAGCCCAGCATCGGGTCCATTGCGCTCTTCAGATGTCGCGAGGATGGTAAGTAGCCGTTCGTTTGCATAGAACTCAGCCCAGCTATCACAGAAACGGTTCGGCTGCTTGGTATCACCGCAGAAGGTTGGCACAGGGAATCCGAATCTGCGCTGGCCGGTGTTTGGATCTAGGGGTGCGGGCGTAGTATGCAGTTTTCCGAGGCGGTGCGCGAGGGTGGTTTCTTCGCCCGTGCTGCGGCCCATCTTGCCGCCAAGCTCAAGGAACTCTGTTGCAAGGAAGTGCTTTTTGGCTTTTCTGCCGGGCTCGTCGAGTGGTCCCCGAGCTACGGCTTGCGGACAGAATCCTGGTACTGAGGCTGCTATTGCGTTGAGGGACTCGGATTCGCCTTGGAACATTTCTTCTGCGGCTTTGCCATTTGAGGAGGTTTTTATGAAGTAGCGTCGTTCTGCCTCTATGCCATTTTCTCCGAGGACCTGGGCATGGATGGTGCCTGTGCTTGTGAAGCCTGAGCCAAGGCCGGATGTGGAGAGGCTGGCTTTTGAATCCGGTGGGAGTGAGAGAGCTTGAAGAATGGGTTCTGGTACCGGGGACATTATTGTTGTTGGGTTTCGGGTGTTGGGAAGAGTAGACTTGTTTTAAACAGATATTTAGATAGACGTAAAGAGATGTGAATAGACCGGATTGCAGAGGGCTATGACGTTTTTCTCCACATCGATAATGGAGCTCTTATCACCAAGCTTGTAGATGAGAGGTACCTACTCCTTTCAGGCACATATTCAAGAAGTTTAATAGATCCTATCTTCATTTACGATATTGAGATGAGCTCGTCACAGTAAGAAAGAATTGTCCACATTTTCCTACAGTACTCCGATCCATCCACAACGTCCACGGGTGACTCTAACCGTAAACAAAGATATCAAGTAGGCGGGATCAACTATGTAGGAGATAGTTTGTTCAACAATTGCAGCGCAGTCTTCGTGCGCTCTCTTATGTCTAGCTCCGTGTCATCCTCGAGGCTAGCCAGTCGTTCTGCGAAACCAAGAGAACGAAGTCTCACTGCCCGCTCCCGACAACCTTCATGATCACTCTGATCTTCTTCGTAGATGAGGTTGATCACGACCCAGACACAGCTCGACCGGATGTCTTTGTGAGAATGGTTGAAATAATTGCCTAGAGATCGCAGCAAGTCACGGTGGAATGTGACGATGCGCCGGTGGCGTGGATGCCCGGCTGCCAAGTGGATGATGAGAGCGGCAGCTGCGCTAATGATCTCATTGGGGATGTGGAGGGATTGACTGCTAGAGTCACGGCGGTGAGGCAGTTGGATGGTACGTGGTCGTAGTGTATCTGCGATGGTATCGAGGAAATCATTTTGACCGAGCTCTCTGAAGAGATATTCAATCATCTCAGGTGCATCCCGACCACAGATCATGTTGCGCAGTAAGTCGAATGTCTGCTCCTGAACGGCGATATCGTCCTGTCGAGACTGTGTGGTTTGAGCCAGGGTTCCGTGCAGAACGAGTTTTCGTCTACGCCTTGCATCAGGAAGGAACATATCTAAACTCATTTTGGAGGGAGGCATAGTATCCGTCATCTTGAGGTCCTCATCCCACTCCGCTGCATCATCCATGGGGTTCAAGATATCGACCTGTTCGCCAGCCGAATTGGATCGACCCATGGCAAACCCGGGACTTTGATCCGTCTCCTCTTCTATCCCCCGTCGAGCCACTGCGCGGACCGGATCCTGGGAGATGACCTCCATAATCCATTCGGGGCCCAGTGTCTCGATGATGTTCATTCTGATGTCGTTTGCGGTGTCATAAACCATGTGTTTGAGAGCCCAGAGCGATTCAATCTGTAATTTGGTGTTGGACGAATGAGCATGTTCACAAAGGATGGGAATGATGTTGTGGGAAATGATTGCCTGAGAAGGTTATGTTAGCTGCAAAGTTCCAAACGAAATATAGACATCGACAAACCTCTTTCATGGGACTGAAGTCCAAGGCCAAGTTACAAATCGCAGCCGTTGCTGCAATTTGCACCTCGAGGTCAGAATGGCGAAGAAGGGCAAACAGTGGCTTGGCCACGCCGGCATCAATAAGACTAGTTCTTAGCACGCTCACAGATCTGGTCAGCATCCGAGCTGTTCCACAAGCAGCCAGAATTGTCGGGATCGGATTTCCATCCTCTGCAGTATTTTTGGGCGTCGTAGCATCAACTAGTGCATCACTAGGCCTTGGCTTGAGGGCGTCAATGATGTAAGGGACCACGCCATGTTCGCAAATCGCCTTGCGGTACTCGTCCTTGAATGGGACGAGTGCTGCTAAAGCCTTGAGGATGTTCTCTCGGTAACGCATTACATGGCAAAGGGTCGGAGAGTAACCGGAAGGCCCGAGCCGGCACTCCGGTGAAAGAGACTCGAGATCCCGGGCTGGAACATCCTCTGCGTGCCACATTGGCCGGGATGTCTCCGTGATTGGGTTGTAAGTCTCCTTGAGAAGTTGTGAAAGTCGTTTTAGCGCATTGGCTTCTACTGCGTGTCTCTGCAGTTCCTGGTCGTCCATGACCAAGTTGGCTAATACGGCAGGCGCCTCCTCCTTTAAGCGTAGGGTCGACGAGAGTAGCCCATCATTAACAGCGCCTTCTTCATCCGGCAGATGGACATTCTTGTCAAGCATACGAATCAAGATGGGGATTAACAAATAACTGAACATTGGAATGCGATGTTTTTTCGCCAATCCTAACCGGAAGAGGGCCGTGACAAGACGGGCGGACATCAACCGTGTCATGCCATTCTCTGAGCGGAGAATGCAGAGCAGCCATGGAATAATCGAATTCTCGTCGTCTTCTGCGACAGGAGTGTCAGCCAGTGAAAAAGGCGTGGGGTAAGAATGGCTGTGGCGACGCTGGGAGCCTCCGTGCCCCAGAGGTGGGAAATTGGCAGAGCTAGATGATGACTTTGTGTGTGCTAGAGGAACCGACGGCAAAAGCTGCTCTATGGGGTTGGAGCCAAGATGACGAGGTACTGCGGAGCCCGACAGATATGTGGATCCCCACGGACCTTTCTTAATGTCTGATGGAGCAAACCCAGCAACTTGTTTTGGAAACACCGTCACAATGCCAGGTGATGACAGGAAGTGCTCTGCCCTCCATTTTGACTGTTCAATGATGACAGCAACTGCACGCAGAATCGGTGCTAGCTGGGCGGATTCGGGGGCCGGAAGTGGCAAATCCTCCAATGCGCCAGGTTCTTGAAGGCGATCCTCTGCGCCAGGTAGGACAAATCCCTTGGCCACAACAAAGGAGGCAATCTTGAGCGCCAAAGCATCCAATACCCCAGATTCTGCTAATGCCGTCTTATGGGTTTCCTCCGTGCATAGCTTGCCGATCAGGGCGGCTGCTAGCTCAATCGTGGTCTGGCTGCGCAGATTCTTGTACTCCTGCGAGATTAGACGCCTAAGAGAAGTGATATTTGCAGAAGCAAAAACAAGATCCGCAAGCTGCGTGTCCCGAGGCCATTGTTCCTGGCTCTGCAACGGTATCCGGTCTGCAATTGTGTTCAGGAGTCGTAGAATGGGAAGACAAAATGAATCAGGGCAGTCCGGAGACGAAAATATTGAAAGTAAGGTTTGGGGGATACTGCTGGCGAATAGTGGGGTGAGAAATGTCGGACCGCCTGCTCAGTACAGTCAATGTCTGTGTTGGTATATTGGGACATGGATCTAATCTTCACGTACCTTGTGCCAAACTCCCGACAATTAAAATTGCTTGAAGACATGCTTCGTAATCTTCTGGGGCTTTTGACGTGGACCGGCCTTGATGCGATATCGATTCATTAAACTCGGCCGTTCCCGGCCACCTCGAGGTCAGCACCTGTGCCAAAGCTGGTATGATTCCCTCGACAATGTAGGTTTCCTTGCGCTGGTCATGTCCAATCAGTTCATTCTTGAGAGTGCGCAAAGCTGTGATCTGAGAGGAGGCCGATTCGGCGCTCTGTAGCTGCAGCAGAATCGGCGGTGCGGCAGCTCGCGTCATCATCTAGTGATCACCCCCTCCCAGCGGGAGGTGCTCGACGTTTCACTTTGTTGAATGAAGGAATTGGTAGAGATACTAGAATGATATTGAGGAAATTATCTCCGTCGAGGTGAAGATTGTGCAGACCTGGACGTACAACATAGATATGATGCCTGACCGGAACTGTAGAGCCGGGCCTAGAGGGTACTCCGCACTTCGGCTCTGCCCAAACATACCGCTCCCGAAAAGTGGTCCCGGATTAATGAAAATCCGAGACCGGTCGTGACTGCCAAAATATTGGTGTGCAGTTTGCTACCGAACTTGAACACGCCAACTGCTTCTATAATAAAATATGCCGTCATGGAAAACCCATTTTCCAGTGTGATAGGGGCGGCATCTGGAGTCTAACGCCACACATCACCATGGACACCAAGATATCTAGCCTTTCCATGAAAAGAGGGGCATTCTCAAGCCCAGCAGGGTATCGCCTAGACAGGAGTGTATGAATATTAATCAATATTTACGTGTGAACTGCCCCATATTTCGTACTGAGATCTATATCAAGTAGCCTATGTTATATATTGCAAGGCCTTGGTCGTTGGTATTAGTTCTGGTCTATATGTTGCACTGCAGCAAATCATGTATACCGCCGATCTGGGGTCCGGAGAATAAGATATTACCTGGGCAACTATGTCAATCCAGTGATTAGCTGCCATCCAACTATATATTTTCATGTACAACATACATAGTAACTATTCCAACACTTCAATCTAAGCATAACAAAATTATACTCGAGTTCTCTTGGCACTTTAACCTAATCTAGCTAGGGCACGGTAGTCTACCCCCGCTTTCCGTGGGTCGGTAGTAGATTCGTTCAATTAAATGTTTGCATGTATAAGACGCTATACAACATTGAGGGTTGTTTGAACCGATTAGAGATAGATCTTCTTTGGATAACACCACCCTGTAAAAATCCTAAGTAATACATCCCTTGATCTAATAAAATATACTATAACATAAGATAACATAATAAAGCCAAGAAATAGTAATAAAGCCAAGAAGTGAAAAAATCAAAGAAAAATACCATACTGTAACAATACAGTAACCGGAAGCAACCAGCCACTGACAGCATCGATGTAATTACCTCACTTGACGAACTTTCAAAGAACAAGATTTTCAAACCGGCTCTCGCCCCCTTCCTGTTCTCTAGTCCAAAGGTCATTCGGATGATTATTCCCTGACCACACCCCCTCTTTCCTCTTTTATTATTTACATATATCTTTGCAATCCCTTTCGCCTTCCCTCTGAGCCTCTAAGCCCTCTGAGGATGAGGCCGGCCGTGCACCCACGCCATCCACAGCGCGACCTGACTGTGCGCCCACGTGGTCTCACCTTGCACTGTGAATGCTCAGATTCCCAGCATTCCTTAATAACCTAGTCACACCCTAAAACATGTTGGCGTCTTCGCCCTCGCCTTCTACGGCTGCGTTACGCTCCCCGCTTCCTTCCACTTCGGGATCGCATTCCCATTCACACTATGAGCCGACTGGCGCTCCACAATTCAATAGTCCTCGATCCTCTCGTCTGGCCATTGACGAACTTCGGTCAGCCTTGAATCGGCATACCGTCGATCCCTCCTCTCCTGAAACTTCAGGGGATCTTCAACGCAGGCGCGCATCTTCATCCACCGACACTCTAAAGATCCTAGTCAACAATTCGGCCTTGGCTTCGACCCCCCAATCAGCAACCTCTTCTGCTGCGACTGCAACCACCGAAGCGACCGCCACGTCCACAAATCCACCGACCTCCTCCCCCGCCCCCTCGATGCCCGCCCCTACCTCCGGTTCCAATAAGCGCAACAGCCAACGGGACCATCACCCATCGGATGCGACGCCGGCGGAATACGATGGCGAAGAGTTGGAGAGGTCCTCGTCCAAGCGCCTGCGGCCTTCCAAACCAGATGTCAAGATGTTGCCCACACAATATGAACTGGCCGACCCCCGTGACATGGTCGTGCTGATCTCCAGCATGCTCATGGAGCTGATCCGATTCAATGACAAGATCCCACTACACCAGGGGCGTCTGACTCGCTTCCACTCGCGCTCTCCACCTCGAATCTCCGTGCAAGATTACCTACAGCGGTTGACGACCCACGCTACCCTCTCACCCCCTATCCTCCTCAGCATGGTTTACTACATCGATCGACTCTGTGCGCTGTACCCCGCCTTCACCGTTTCCAGTCTGACCATCCATCGGTTCCTGATCACCAGCGCCACAGTTGCCAGCAAGGGACTCAGCGACAGTTTTTGGACCAACAAGACGTACGCTCGGGTTGGTGGAATTGGCATGACGGAATTAGCCATGCTCGAACTAGATTTCTTGTTCCGAGTCGAATGGCGCATTGTTCCACAACCGGAAGTGTTGGTTGACTATTATCAGAGCCTCGTCGATCGATGCGACGGGTTTGAAATTGAAGGCGTCTGCAAAAATGGCAGTGCTAAAGCTGGGGTAACGGGTATTGCTCCAGCAGCCGGTCCTGTTCCAACATAAAAACTGGACCAATACTCCCAATTACGCCGCCGATGCGAAATCTGCACAAATTACGCAAATTACGTTCTGCCCTGGACCACTCGGGCCGGTCTCGAGTCAGCCATGGATGAGTGGATTCTTCTGCCTTTCACCCGCCGAGTCACTGGCGGTGTGATTTAATACATACCACTTGCATTAGGGGGGTGATGGTGTCAGATCTCGATGCACCATTGCTTTTGATCTAATATCGAGGAGCACCGACATCAGACATGGCGCTTTAGAACAGGGATCTATCTCAGCATATACCAAAAGGTCGATGGGCAATACCTTGTTTCTACTTTTCAGCGATTTTTTTTTTTTTTTTTCCATAGGGCATTCGGCGTTTAATGTCTCACGAGATGATGAGGCAATCTCTACGATCAAATCACCCATCGTCTTAACTGTTTTTTTTAGAATCATAACAAATCTCAAATATCCACTCATAATCTGAGCACTTGAAATTGTAGATCTTCTGCGTTCTATATATATATAGGTCTAAGACAAGTCAATTTTTTTTTTAGATATTTCCCTCCGTTATCGGTGTGAGATATAGAACATGTGGGCGGTGAAAAATGTCGACTTTTTCATATAAAACATGTGATTATGCGGTTTTTGGTAGTTAGCTATAGTTACACTATACTATGGGGCTGAGGCGAGGTACGGAGTATAGATGGAGCAACTATCATTACTATATATTCTACTTCCCTTTCCACAACCCATATTCCCTAATGTATTTGATCAATAATGACTTGTTCATTTAGAGACTAAACCCTCCCAAGTGAAACTATGTTGTATACCTAACGCATAAAATATCAAAAGCGGCCAAGCGGCAAACCCGTGGGACAACCTTGGAAAGTTTGCACTGTTTGCTTTTCAACTTTGTATAGCTTTCGAGGTTTCTTCTTTTCTTCAAGTCCTTTTGTGAATACTTCCTCTCTCGCTGAATTATTGAAGCTGACGTTGTCAATTGCGGCTCAATCTTGCAACCCAGGCATTGCCACTTACAACAACTTTTAGGCTATGACATTGGTTGTACATCGTTAACCTTGACACATTCTATTTCACCCCGCGCCTGACTGGGTGCCATTTGAGATAGCTAGAATGGACGTCGAAAAGACAATTAGAGACCTCAAACCCCTTGTTGGGCAAGTGTTTCCCATTCGAACAGTCCAAGAGACAAGGCCCCAAGAAGAATTCGGTATAACCTACTATATCGCCCTCTTGCGACATCATGATTAACCAAAAAATAGGCGATGCCTTTGTTGCTGAAGTCAATGTGAAGGCTGCATCCAAAGTGATCAAGTAAGCTACAGCCTCGCATACTTTGCCGGTTCGAACAGCAATTTAATTAATTCCTTAATTAGGGCTCTCGACTCGGCTTTTCCCAGAGACGCTTCCCTTCCACTATCCCACCTCCGTCGCTTCGCCAAAAGAGAATTACTCCCACCGCCGCTGAGGGCAGCGATTGAAAGCCAGAGCGTTCCTTTGGCGTCCCCAGCACAAACCATCTTCGTCCTCATATCACCACCATTGCCTGATCTTACCACACTCCAGGCCTTGCTCGCACCATTTGCGCCGGCCACGGCGCCGGCCGCTACAAACGATCCTTCAACTACAAATGAAACCCCAGACGAAGCTTCACATTCCGATCCTCCATCCCCTACTATTCAACTTCACCCCATCAAAATCCCTCTTGCACCCCCCTTCAACGCAACCCAAGCCGAAACATGGGCCAAGACCATGTGGCCGATTATATTTAACCCAGCTGCACCTCGCTCAACTGTCGCACCGCCCCCTCAAACCCTAAAACGCGCACAGGAATCTATTGAACCACGGGCAGGGTACTATCTATCCCTAGCGCGCAAAGTAGCAGAGGAAGCAGAACAATCCGGGCTAGGCCGCGGCGTAGGCGCAGTGATAGTCGACCCTGCCATCGAAGAAGAGATAACCGAGGCAGGCTATGAGGCCGGATACGACACTACAGCAGAATGGACCGAAGCAGTCCTCGCAGCTGCCGGTGATGCGCGGTACTCTCGTTCCGAGGCGGGTGCGCCATCCCAAGCCCAGCTGCACGCCGGCGTAGCGCCGAACCCAGCGAGCAAGACATACAACGCCGATGTCGAGGGCGGACCTGAACTGCACGCTCTGATGCGTGCTGTTGAGCTGATTGCTCGTTGGCGCCGAGAACACGAGCATCTTGACGATGTGGCTGCATCAACGGCTCCTGCAGACCCATCGAAGCCAGAACTAGAACACCCAGAGCTGAGCGCTTTCGAATCATACTTCTTATACCGACACCGTCCCGCTACTTCCACCAGCATCTCAAGCTCACCTCAGCCTCCGTCCTCCCCATTGAAGAGGAAGCATGAAGTCCCTAACCCTGAATCCGACTTGACTACCAACCTCTCTACAGACCCTTCCCAAGACCAACTCCACAACCCACCTCTACCCGCTCCTCCCCCATCTACAGTGATACTTGCGGATTCTTCTACCTCGGCTACAACACCTGCAGTTCCGCGCATTCGCACCCGCTCGCAGGGTGGCTACCTTTGCACAGACTTAGACGTCTATCTTTCTCATGAGCCGTGTCTGTGCTGCTCTATGGGCATGCTTCTCTCCCGGTTCCGATCTGTCATCTTCCCTAGACGTGGGAGACTAGAAAGTGGTGGCTTGTCTTCTGAGCCGGTAGTTGGTCCTGTGGCCGATGAGATTGATCAAGCAGTAGAGGCTGATGCTTCTGCGGTCGACGGGCAGGACGAGAGGGGGTACTACGGGCTGCATTGGAGGAAGGAGTTGAACTGGAGGGCTCTTGGGTTTGAGTTTGTGGAGGATGGCGACGAGGATGTGGAAGTGAAGAGTGAGGCTGGAATGCCTGTCTTCCATGCTTGATTGTATATATTCATTAGTATAGTGGCAAGTCAGTTCACTTTATGTCATATTGGGTATATCCTAAATACTATATACATCAAACTACGTCCAGGATGACAATATAAATGCAACTGTGTACACTTGAGTGACCTTGCTGGATTGGGCTTGCGATAGATGTGCCGAAGAGGAATGCCCTGAGTTAACGACTGTAGACCCGTGGACGGCAAACTCCATGACTAAGAATCCTACGTAGGCAGCGAGAAGTACTAGGCCAGCTATTCGATGGGGTCCTATAAAGACGACCGCTAGCAGGGACAGCGAGGATACCTAGACTGCTACTAGATCAAACAGAACGAAGGGATCTAACCGGTCAAGCGGGCGTCCCGCCACTGCGACAACACTGACACATAGTATCAGTAGGAAGATATTACTCTCTGCTGTGGTTGCAACAATTATGCCTCCCTGTCCACGAAAGCCGCTGAGCATAGCAATCAACTTCTCCGGTGAGGTTGTGACAAAGGCGATCACGGTCAAACCAAAGACATTGCTTGACAGATTGAGAGTCAGCGGTAGTACCCGCGCTGTGGGCAAGGATATACCTCGACAAGGAGAGTGCTAGCAGTCCGAGAATAAGCTGGAGGACTATCTAGATGTAGTAGGCGTGTCACTAACTACATATTTAGGTGGTGATACTAGTTAGGGACATACATACTACTACTAAACTATTACTACTACTTAACTATACTCTTGAAATAACTTGAAACTTCCTTTGAAATTTTTTTGGTAAAAACAGGGCTTTTTGACATACCACACCTGGTATTCTGCGTTCTCGCGCAATTCAGATATCCGACCTGTAACTTCCACACTCCCCCAGCCTCCAACGCACTGTGGTCTGCCCCATTGACCTCCCTCCTCTTCCCTCCCAACACGAGCAAGAAACGCCCCCGATGCCCCAGGCTGAACAACCCCAGCCATCTTCAACACCCTTCTATGCAGACAAAGCAATCAAGATCAAGACAAGGAAATTCGTGACTTCGTCACAGGATCTCCTGTATCGACGCCAGATGTCGAATGACATGGCAAAGTACATAAAGAATTTGGTAGGAACAGCTCATGGTGAGCCATTATTTTTTTGGCCTGGTCATGTGTGATAAGGCCAAGATGGCCTCGAATAATGTATCCATGAGAAAAACGGAGAGGGGTATAAACCGAGGTCGATATCCCATAAGATACAGCCCAAAGCTAGATGAAAAAAAAAACAATTGGCTCAAAAGACAATGGGTTGTGGTGGCAAATGATTCGGGTTCATCACACGGAAAGAAAAGAGTAAAAAAAAGGTCAAAACGGAGTCTGGGTAAATGCTTTTGTGAAGCAAAAGTGAGATATGACGAAGAAGCCTTTGGGGAGAGAGGTAGATGTCCAGGGACCGCCGTGCCCTAGATTGTGTTCCTCTCTCCATATGGCTCCATTGTAAAAGGTGTTTCATGTGCAGAGGCGAGCTGTAAACACAAAAATGGAACGAGCTCGCCGAGATTGATGGATGTTATGTATGACCTGTCGAGACAGGCGGCAGATAATCCTCTGAAGTGAGGATCATAATGCATGACTTTGTGGAAGACACAGAAATTGATGTGTCGTATGATGTAGCGGTATGATGGTTTTTCAATGCGATGTTGAAGAACGGACGGCCAGCCTCATGGCAAAGCTTTCGGGCGAGGATCCTCAATCCATTCGCTGGTAGAACAATAGATAGGCAACTTTGTTGTCACCAGAGCCATAGCGGCCCAGGGGAGTTCGGACCCCAGAGGGAGCGGCGGGAGGTGGAGTGACTCCGTTCACGGACTTCTTGCTTGCATGTCCGTTGGCACCATTGCCATTGACCTGGCTCCAGCCCTTTTCACTGTCAGTCAAATCCATGTCATCCTGATCGATGTGGTCGAAAATATTGCCGTTCGGGATCTTGCCGTTCTTGCGCTGCTCGAGAGCGGCAGCGAGAACCTTAGGGTCTTCCTCGCCCCCAGCTTCCGCCACTTCCTCGCTGCGAACGCGACGGATAGCAGTGTCATCCATGCGGATCCATTCTAAGCCTTCCTGTCGCCGAACATCGACTGTGTAGTGACCGCCGCTAGCGTTCTTCCCGTGGTGGTAAATGACACCCATAAGGCGATACTTTGGGGGACCTCCTTGGGATGCCATGGCGTTACGCCGATGAGCTGGGAAAACCTCCCGCGGAAGCTCCAGGTCTAGGGGATAGCCAACCTTTTTCCAAATCTTCTGGGTGGCACCTGTAACACTGTCATACTGGAAGCGCTTGAGGTGAAGAATGAGAACAGGGGGCAAGGTCTCAATAAAGATTTGTTTGGTCGCGGTGATGTTGGGTCCGCGCGATGAGTTGAAGTCACCCTGAATGCTTTCCGGCTTTGTCATTCCCCTGAGCGCATCGAGAATGTTGTGAACGTCATGCGACCCGATGTCGAGTTGCAAAGGTTGATAGGGTTCCAATGTGACAGAAGTCTTGTTGCCAGGCACCTTGAATTCTGAGCGAAGCTTTCCCCCAAAGATTCTGGTGACCGGCGACTCGGCGGCAAGAGAGCCAGACAGCTGGGTGACCGCTGATTTTTGCTTGTGGCCAACTTCCAACCAGCCTTCGACGGAAGAATCGCTGCTTTCCTTCGCTGCAGTGTGTGATTCGGCACGAGCGCACTCCTCGTGCATCTCTTCGAGAAGGAAGCCTAAGAACTCTTGAGCGTCCTGCTGATGCCCGCGACGCATGTCCCTGAATCGTGGCAGTTGTCGAACCATCTCATAAACAAAGTCAGGCACGAACGACTCGCCATATTGCTCAAGCTCATTGGGCTTCAGTCTGAGACGAAGTTGGTCTTCGGAAGTGGCAGAGTCAATAACACGGAATTCTTTCATAAACATGATCATCCCATCGATCAAAGGAAGATCACTGTGAAAGGTGTGCGCAGCACGTCGGCCAAGATGATCAAGGAACTGGTAGAACGGAGTGCAAGAAACAAGAATTTGCAACACAGAGTTCATGTAGCACATGTTTCCAGTGTTGACCAGTCCTCGAGGTTCAAGGAAGGCGATCCTGTCGCTATATTGAGTGACATCTTCTCCCAACGTGCTTAGAACATCTGCGAGGGATTTGTTTTTTTGAACAGGCAATCCATGTGGCTCAGCCAAAGCAGCAGCGGCGGCGGCGGCGGCGCTTGCTGCTTTTGCCGACTCCTTCGAACGGACCAAATCAGCCCAAGATTTGGGTGCAGCTGGAATAGGCGAGCTTGTCTTGGTTTCAGTGGAAGGAGCTTTATACGATTCTATCGCTGGGGCAGGAGTAGCAGGTCCAGTCGATTTAGGAGTTCCAGATGCGACGCTGCTATCTTTGGCTTGGCGACGTGGGGTAGATGGGACATTGGGCACCACCGGAATTACCGGAGCAGGCTTCGAGCTTTTCGACTGTGCTTGTGATCTCGCAACTGACGAAGGGGTGGTGGGCTGTGTGGAGTCTGCATCCGACTGCTGGAATGTGGTGGTGGTTGGGGTTTGAGGTTCCGAAGATTCTTGGGTGGATGAACACGATGGTTGAGTCTCTTCATTTTCATCTCCTTTAATGGCCATGTGCGTGTCTTTGGTGGGGAGCTCAACCGATGATTGCATGGCACGGCCCTTGCGACGTCTGCGGGGGATTCTGGCCGGGAAGGGCTGTTCAGGAACAGAGAGCCAAGGAATCTAGACTAACAGTTAAAAAAAATATTCAAGTCTAATTTGAGATCAGAGTAAACACTTACTGGTGGGGCAAAAGTAGGCTTCGGCGGCAAGTTTGACTGTGACTCCCACCGTGGTGGCGGAGAAGCGATGGGATATCCCTGGGCCGAGTGCGGTAGAACAGCAGGATATTCCTGCATTTCGGGCTGAATGGGCTGAATTGATGGATGCATGACAGATGGAGACATTATCGGTTGCAGTGGAGTCGGAGTTCTTTGATGCATGGGCATGGAATGAGGAATATGCGTGGGCGCCATGACAGGCTGCGAGTGAGGGTAAGAGGATACAATCATCGGCCCATAGGGTGCCTGGTATGGACGTGGAGGGCCCTGGATATGCCCATATGGTGGATACCAGTAGGGGTATTGCTGCGATGAGTATGGCTGATGAGGCATGTGGCCATTCATGTGAGGAGGATAGCCCATGTACTGTGGTGACCGCATGTGGGGAGGCGCGGCATTGTAAGAGAAGTCTTGCTGGCGCCTTGAAGGGGGCATGGGCAGCTGCCCATGGGGCATGGCAGGGAGGTGGTGGTTCATCTTGAGCTGGCTAGAGAAAGAAGTTGTCTTGACGTTCGGTCACGCGTTGCCTCAAATGAGTGCCATGCGCGATAGCAGTCAAGAGAAAAGAAACTGGAGCTGCTGGCGCATTTAGGCAGCCATCGTGGCCTCGGTAGAGGTGTTGGATATGTTGGAGAGTGGGTGTGGAGGATGGATGAACTGGGTCAAAAGAGCTGTTGGGGTTGCTGGGATTGGTGGAAGGAGACTGGCAAACCAGATCGCAGTGAGGAAACAAGAGAAAGAAGTAGATCGCTGTACATGTAACTCCCTAGGCAGAGAGAGTCAACAAGTGGATGAGAAGCGAGTGAGCAAAGGAAAGAAAAAAAAAGAAATAAGGTGCCTCGATTCACCGTCAAACGTCAAATGAAATGAAGCTGAAGGGGACCGAGACCGAATTGGGTGTCGGGACTTGCTCTCTCACGTGACATTACGATTTGTAACCGGAGAGGGGGCGAAACAGTACTTTCACGACATCAACTGGCACCCTGAGGGCCGTCCCTCTAATCCATTCTACTATTCTTACATGGCCTTTAGGGCCATTCATTCTCTTCCACCTCTTCTGGTCCAATCTGAGGCATCTGGTGGATCACTCGATCTAGGTACTGCCCGCTAGCTGATTGCATCTTATCAGCCGTTGGCTTTATCCAGTTCCCCATAGCCCCCCTCATCTTCCGTTTCAGCCAACTG